TATCTCTATCTATCTCCAGGCATATGGTGGTGAACACCTGTAGTCCCAGCTACTTGGGAGGCTGAAGCAGAAGAATCGCTTGAACCCAGGATGCAGACGTTGCAGTGAGCCAAGATCGCGCCACTGCACTCCAAACCTGGGCAACAGAGTGAGACTCCGTCAAAAAACAAACAAACAAGCAAACAAACAACCCACACAAAACAGTAAACATTTTACGTGAGCAAAGGAAGTCTTTTCCTAATTCCCACAGAGGTGCTGCCTGGGTCCTGCCACTGTTCCAGCCTCTGTGTATTTCCCACTGTGCAGGGACCCTGTGTGTGAAAATGGGAAGGATGTTTGGGGCTCATTCCAGGTCTCTCCTTTCTCAGACGAAGAATCCATGGCTCAGGAAGGGAAAGCTTTGGCTGACTCTTGGCAGGCTCAGGAGGTCTGAGCAGAGACATCTAGGCCAGGGTGAGGTGAGGGGTACATACCAGTACTGCCCCCCAGAGTCCAGCAGGTACATCTCATCTGAGGACAGCTTGCGGTTCAGCTCCTTGGTCGGGCTGAGAAGGGGAAGAGAATGCTGAGAGGGGCAGCCTAATCCTGCACTGGATCACATGGGGGCACTTGGTGGGAGGACCTCTGGGGTCTGGGCTTCCAGGCCAGTCCCTCTGGGGGAAGTCATTCTATCCCAAAGGGCCCTGGAAGATAACTCAGCTTCCGTTGCTGCTGTCTTCAGCACAGGTCTGCTAATCTTGCACCCGGCTGAGCCAGGCCCTGGACCCCGGGAGGAGAGAGAGGGTGAAGTCCAGAATGTGAGAGCTGGGAGAGCCCTAGAGACCCCCCAGCCCAGCCGTCTCCTTTTCCATAAGGAGAAGCAGGCCCATGGAGGCCAAGGGGCTTGCACGAGGATGCGCGGTACAGCGGCGAAGAGTTGGGCCTCTACCTGGATGCTCCCTTCGGCCCTTTGTCTCTAACTTCCTGCTGCCTCTGAGAGCAGAGGGCCCTGAGAAGAAGCAGAGCACAGGAAGGGAGGGTTCCTCCAGGGTGGGGCTGCAGAGCAAGAGGTGGTAAAGCGGAGGAGCACCCACCGCGACACTCTAGCCCGAGTGGGTAGGAGGGGCTGGGGCAAGGCAGCCAAAAGCGTGGGAGACACCAGGGGACACCAGGGAGGGAATTCTGGGACATATCAGGCACTCCCTTGGAGGGCACTGACCTCTCCCTGCTGTGCCCATGCCAGGCGGAGGCAGCTGGTCAGCTTGGCCCCCCACATTTCATCAGGCAGGCCTGCAGGGCTTTGTTTTCTATAGGGCCAAACACCTGGCTAGCCTGCATCTTGGGCCCACCTTGGTTGGCTCAGACTGAGTGAACAGGCCTCTCTTCATGTGACCTCGTGAGCTTTAAGCATTAGCTAACATCAGCAACACACGGGAAGCCAGGGAAAAGCATCCAATGGTGTCTCCCTTCCAGGTCCCCTAGCCTCCAGTGCTCAGGCCTTTTCATTACACAGCAACTCCCTACTCCACACTGAGCTCCTCTCCCAGCCCCCACAGGGCTAAGAGCCTCAGACCTCCAATGTGGACTCAGTTCCCAGAACATCCCCCTCCCCTCACCCTGTTCCTCTATACACACAACGGGATCCCCCAACAGGGCCCTAGAAAATTAATTTTCCTCAAGTACCTGTAGTGGGCCAGGGCAGCATTCAGACCACTAGCAGAGATGGTTTCAAAACTGGGTCCAGAGGAGAACTGTTCTTCTCTGGAAAGTACAAGGCAAGGCATGGTCAATGAATCGGCCCCTGGACTGGGCTGGGCCTGGGATATCTAATAAAATCCAATGAAGGTCACGGCTGCCTCTACCAGGCACCATTTGGCTCTCCCAGCCCTCACCTCCTGGTTCCATCTCCCCAAGCCTTGACCTGTCATTTATAGAGGAAGATCAGAGGACACACTGTAGACACCAATTATTCCCTCTCCACCTCCATTTTACGGATAGTAGTGAAGAAACCCAGCTCTTTGTATCTGAAAACTCCCCCAGTCCTGAAAGAGCATCCTGTACCTCAAACCTACAACCCGGGCCCTGACTTGGGCCAAGCATGCCTTCGGGAATCCTCCTCTCTACCTGGTATTCTCAAGTGGTCCAGGGGCTGACCTGGTCTGAGCCACAGCTTCCCCCAGGGAGAGCCAGACGGTGCCTGAAGCAGACACTAGGGGACGCTATTGAGTTGTGGCCCTTCAAGTTGTCCTGCTTTCAGCGGGGCGGGAAATGTAATCCAACGCCCCCTGCTCAACTCCCCCACCAACCAAGAACCTGTCTCTCCTTGTTCTACAGAGCCCTCCCCCATCCAGCCCGCATATGAGGAGGATCTTCCTTCCCGTTAAGTAAGGGGACAAATTCCCCCTCCCTGCCCCCACTGCAACACTAAAAAGGATGACCGTGGCTCTTCACCCTCGGAACTTGTCCACGAGCTCTGCCCCCGAGAACTCGTCCACTGTGCCTTTGGGCACATTCTTCTCCAGCCAGACCAAGTACCGGATCACAGCCACAGCGTCCCGCACCTGGAGTTGGGGAAGCAGGGAAACAGAGGAGCTGGCTGAGGTCTGATTGTGGCCACAGGCTCCAAGATGATGCAGATCAGATAGCTGCTCCAGGATGTGGAGCTTTAAAAACACTGGCTATTTGATGTCAAAGAATCCTTGTTAGTGTTTATATGTGATCACAGTGTGTTCCTGTTTTTGAAAGAGTTCTGTGTTGACAGCAGAAATGACACGCTATCTAGGATTTACTTTTAAAAGAATCCAGCAGCAGAGGGGGTGGTGGTGGTGGTAATGAACATGGGGTTATAGACAAAACAAGAATGGCCATGAGTCAAGGACTGTTGAAGCTGGGTGAAGGGACACTGGAGATTATGATGCTATTTTCTCTACCTTTGTGTGTCTTTAAAATTTCCTATAAGATAAAGTTTCTTTTTTTTAAATAAAGTGGTTTATCTTAATTTTAACAAGAATTCTTTTTTAAAAATTGAGCCATCCTCTTGCCAGTGTGAGGAAATCATTACAGCTAACATTTAACACTTAGAATGTGCTAGATGGTGCTCAGAGCAATATACATATTCATTGAATTCTCACAACAACCATATGCTGTAAGATTACTATTATGATCCTCATTTTACAGATGGGGTAACTGAGGCCCAGAGAGGTAAAATGACTTGGCCAAGGTCACTCAGTTAGGAATTGGGTGGAACTGGGGTTTGAACTCAAGGCACCCTAGCTCTGGGGCCTGTACTCTAAACCACTGTACTATATTGGGGGCAAGGATATATGGTGCATGTGGGCGCCTGGGAATAATTTGGTGTCTGCTTCTTTATTCCTTCCCCTCCCCTCCCCTCCCTTTCCCTCCTTCCTTCCTTCCTTCCTTCCTTCCTTCCTTCCTTCCTTCCTTTCTTCCTTCCTTCCTTTCTTTCTTTCTCTTTCTTTCTTTCTTTCTTTCTTTCTTTCTTTTTCTTTCTTTCTTTCTTTCTTTCTCTTTCTTTCTTTCTTTCTCTTTCTTTCTTTCTTTCTTT